CATTACAATAAAAAATTTTAAAATATTAAATTTTTTTAAACAGATTTTGATTTAATATTTTATTTAAATTATAAAAATATTTTTTTCATATTTTTTAGAAAGGGCAGACGTTCCAACTTTTGTGTGTGTATATATATATTTACAACAAACATCATAATGAAGAGTAATAATAATGCAATGTAGATAAATATTTACAAGATTATGACTTAAATATAATACATTCAATTTAAATCACAAAAATATTAATTACTGTTCATCTTCATATGGAAAATTCTAATTTCTCATAATTTGAAGATGTAATGGGTACATGTTGATAAAGTTCATTAGGATTTGTTAAAATTGATGACGAAACCTATAAATATATAATATAAGAGTGAATTTAAAAATACTGATAACAATAATTAAGATGATAAACTAGTTATTTTTGAAATCTATATATTAGAGTTACCTGTAAATCAGGAATTTTTCCTTCACGACTGGTATATTCTCTAAGCATGTAATTTTTATTACACTACATCACAAAAAAAATTTTAGCAAATTTGTTATATTAATTTATATAAATTAAAAATAAAAACTTACCTCATGATATATTCTTGTATCTAATATCCTAATTAGAACATGATCAATTCTCAGAAAATATCTTAACAAGATGAAAAAGCTACCTTGCATTACTCTCTGAAAAAAAAAAAAAAGCTAAAATTTACAAAAAAATTACAAATATACTCACTTTTATTTTATATTAATAATTATTACTTCTGTTTAATTTATTACATAAAAAACAAATTTCTCATTCCATGCACTAATGAAATCAAATTTATATTCATAATTTTTAGACTGATTTTAACATCCATACTGAAAATATACTAAAGTTACTTTTCATATGTAATATTCCTGAATTTTACAGAAAGATTTCCATAAGAAATAATTTGGCATAAGAAAATACTTTCATCATCAGATTATAATCAAAATTTTAAGTTAAAGATAGATCATTTAACTTTGAGAACTTCAGTTCTAATTTTCAGTGTATTAGGAAGTATGTATAAATCAGGGCTGTGGAGTCGCGTAAAAATCTACCGACTCCAACTCCGACTTTTCCTTACCATCTGACTCCTACTCCGACTACAACCAAGGGCAGACTTGTTACCGAAAGAGACCTGAAAATTCTAATGTCATCACGTGACCTCAGAATAAAAGGTTCAATAAATAGAGTTCTAATAAAAATAAAACATAGAAACTTTTTATTCCAAAGCTAAAAGATTCCTCTAAGTAATGACACAGTCAATATATAAATATGTATTCGATAATTTTTACTTTTCTGGCTGTTATATATAACAGAAGGAATGTGTAATGCTCGGTCAAAAAATGACCCCTCCCAAATTTTTACATTTTTTGACTCGGGACACCTCGAAATTTCGAGATATGCAAAAGATTCAAGGTTTTTTCTATATGTGTGGACTGTGTGTGGGGGCATGATTTTTTCACCCTGTTTAAAGCCTAATAATTTCTGTGGTCAGAGTGGTTAGAATCAGAATCAGATGGTTTAACACAGGAGTTAGTTATTAAGCATCAGAGTGATTGAACTAAATCATATCCCCATATACATTCTAACATCATAGGCAAGAACATCTTAACAGGTTTTACTGAACTATTATAAAATGACAAAAAAGCTTACTTTGAGGATACAGACGAGTTTTACTTTTTATTTTTTAAATTTTGAACACTAATAACGAGTAAAATATTCATTAAGACATATGACACATGACTTCTTTTATGTCTTCATTCTGTCGACCTTTAATTAAGAACCAAAATTTAATAGTATTACTGCCCGTTTATACGCAAGCTACAATGCCACATTTCGTTTCTTAAACTTTACCTATTCTGAGATATTGTTTAATATCTCAGAACAGAAAATAAAGAAATTAAACAAATTAGATGCCAACACACACATGCGTACAAATTTTTCCTCTTTTATTGACTTTTTTGGGGGGTTCGGGAGGTCTCCAAACATAGATTTGAAAAAGAAACATGAAGAGTCAAATTTGACACGATTTCAATACTTTTCCGTTGTATATACATAACAAGTTGGGAAGTAAAAAGGAGTTGGAGTCGGCGGATTTTTTGACGACTCCGACTCTGGGTAAAACACTAAAACTCCACGACTCCGACTCCGCAGCCCTGGTATAAATATTACAGGATGATTCATATAGACCCAACCTAAACCTTTTATTATAAATTTTAAACAAATGAATGAGATTTTCAGGAAGCATACCTTCACTTATGTTGAACATATCACATCACATCAAGTATTGGAAGTGGTCGTCACCTTCTGCCAAGCACCTGTCGACATGTTGCTGCATGTTGTTGATAACACATCTCAATGTTGTATTATAAATGTTTTGGATCTCATTCCTAATATTATCCTCTAAGACATAATTCATGTATAGTTTCTTACAGTATACTCTTTCCTTAAGATAGTCCCACAGAAAGAAGTCTGGGCTGGTAAGATCAGGCAATCATAGCAGTCACAGATTCTTGGCGATGACACAGTCCTCAAAAAAGCTCTAGATTGTCACTATTCACTCCTGTGACACGGAGCAAGTTGCTTCATCTTGCTGGAAGTAACTCTGTGTCAGTTCCAGATCAAACTGTTCAACAAATTCTGTGAAAATATGCACATATGTAGTGGTGTTCAGTGTTTCTCTAAAGAAAAGTGGACAGAGTCATGCCTATGCTGGATCTAATTGCCAGTTCCAGCACTCAGTAAGTGGAGGTATGCTTCCTGAAAATCTCGTCAATTTCTGTTCATTCATTTAACACATAATAAAAAATTTGGGTTTCGATCTATATGAATATTCCTGTGTTATTAGAGTTTAGTATTAGGAGTGGTCAGGTTTCACTCCAGAAATGAATAGAATAATTTGTATTAGATTAATATTATCCTCTTTTCCTACTTAATACATTTAAGAAGCTTCAACACAAAGGATCCTTCATATCACTAAAGTCTGAAACAAAGTGTGCCAGCAGCTTAGAAACTTACAACCAGCCCTTCCAATGCAGATAATTAAATGTGGATAAATATTAAATTATAATCAATAAAAAATATACAAAAATACAAACAAATACAAATATAAACATAGATATAAAAAACTGTACTAGCTTAAACTTTGCATTTTAATTAAATGTTATTTACAGTAAAATAAATTTCTAAGATAATGGAAAAAATAACTCAATGCTAGAAGAAATTTTACATTTTTAAGCCAAACTCTGTTGTTCTCTGATAAAACTGATTGGTTAAATTTCATAGGCCTTCTATTAATAATGGTAAGCTGAAATTACTGCTTACTATTAGATTTTGCATTATTTTTTCATTTTCTCTTTGGTAATTCTTTGATTTAAAATTATTTTGAAAGCTTATCTTTATTTCAGTTTGTACTTTCAATTCCAAAGAAAATATCTTTGTTTTTTTTTTCTTTTTGACTATTCTATTTGTATTTTCAATACTTATAATGTATAGCTGATAATTTCAACTATTCTTAAAATGCAGTGTGTTCTTCAAAATAAAATTCTAAGACATTACATAAAAAGATACTTTTATAAGAATTGATAGTATGTAAATTAATTTATATATTTAATAAATGGTAAGGAAATGTTTAAAAAATCTAACAGTTCTGAAAGTTGAATAAAATGTTTTGAAATGCAATATAATATTGTTGATAGTAATAGTATTCAGATTTCAAAACATGTTTTTCAATATTATTCTGACATTATTGTTGTTGTTGTTATTCTTTTATCTACATATTTAAAAGGGAACATAGTCTCTTAGTTTTCAGTGACCAAATTCAGCAAATGAGGTCTCAAACATCATAACCTCTAAATGTGCAGAAAACTATAAAAAATTAAATTATATTTAGACTTTATTGAATTATTAACAGTTTTAGCAATTTTTGGCTGGCCATGTGATCAGTAGTATGTTCACATGAATTATTATTAGAATCTTTTGAATTTTATGATAATTTTAATTTTAAATTAATTGTCTTAAATTAATGTGTATATTTCATAAAAAATATATAAAGCTTCAAATACATTTATAACATTTATTTTTATAAAAGGCCCTTTTACATTTTGTTACGTGATTATTTGTGTTAGCACATGCTCCGTTTTCACATTATTCATAAGCAAGATGGTAAAAATATAAATTTATTGTCTTACTTCACACATTAAAATTATTTCTTGTTTATCAAAGTTTGATTAACTAATGAATAAAACATCAAAAGTTGCACATTTCTTTCAGATATGTCTATATAGTTTAGTGTTGCATTAAATATCTTTTTTAAATTCAAGGTTTTAAGTTATTACGTTCTTTGCTTTTAACAAGCAAGTATCATGTTCACTAGATGTCCAAAAAGAGGCTGCAGTCTTTCTTCTACATTAAGTTCTCAGACTGAAAGAACTGTAACAAATTTTGGACAAACCATTAACAAAGTTAACCAGGGTAACTTTTTTAAAATTGCATTGAGTTCAGCCGATAATATTTTTCATGAAAATAAAAATGACATACAATGTTGATAAAAATGATACATCTACCAGAAGTTTTCCGACATATACTAAACTTTTCAATAAAATATTGTACTTAATAATTATTTTATTTTGTTTCACTTTACTAAAAATCATACAATCTGTCATTCTTGATGGGCAAATTTACTGGTAAATATAAAACTAAAATAACAATAGAATCAATAAGTTTGCTCAATGAATTTGTGAAAAATAGAACCGAGTTAATAAAAATTAAATGTTCGATATTAAACGATCAATTATTGTTAACAACGAAACTCTCCGTTTTTCTTTGTGTTAAAATTTTCCCTGGGAGGAAATCTATCCTTCCGTGCCCCGGAGTAACTTCCTTTCACAACGGAACCTGAAACTGAATCACCCGGACATCTTTCAAAAAAATCTACGATTGGTGAAACCCGACCACGAGACCCGAAGGTATAAAGACCAGGTGCCGCACGGANCAATATATTTATTTTGTTTGTACAAAATAATGAAATAATGTTTAACGATACAATAGCCACGATTATTATTTTAAAAAGTTTACATTAGGCTTAACATCGACGAAAATTCAACGCAAAGCGACACGCAACGGAGAAAAATTTCAACACGGGATATTTTTTCGTGTATAATCGGTTATTCGAACAACCCATCCCCAATTGATTCGGATAAACGACGCTCTACTGTATTTTGGAAATTTAAAGCATTTTTACAAAAATTTCCAAAAATGATAATACAGAAATTGGCTCAGATAATTGAGGTTCTACTATATTGTATATATTATAAGCCTATTAAAAAATTTTTAAGATATGTTGAGTCTAAACTGTAAACTAAAGAGAAAAAGTGTTAAAAAATTTTTTAACTTGTTACCTTTATGTTTAAATTCTGTCAAAAACTTAAGTTCATGAAAATGAACACATTTCTATGCTGATCAGTCCTGTAGCCAGGAATAATTTATTGGGGGCTAAAGAAGCAAGTTGAAAAATTTGTGACTGATGTTTTTTTCTCCAGCTATTATTAGGCCTATTAGCTACAGGCCAAGTAAAAAAAGAAACAGTAGCTTTAGACGAAAGCGAAAGTATATATTATTCTTAAACCCCTTTGGCTTAGTCGACAATGCCAATAGT